AATAGTTATCATATATGTTCCATTCATCCATATAGAAATAGACGTTGAAAAGAAAGAAAACAGAGAAAAATCAGTTGTTCGAGATGGCCGTTCAACCACTAAAACAACAAATGCAAGATGTTCAGCAACAAATACGACGATTAGGTGAAGAACAGCTAGTTATCTTTGAGTTATTTTGGAGTCTTGATGACATGGTTAAGTGCTTATCGAGTCATTAATTAAGTTTAAGTTTTAATTAGAATTTGAATTACTAGGTTCGATTTTAAAAGCTTGCAGCTCAGCAAAACATGATCGTCGACACATCCTTCTTGAGTAGCTTGATAGCCAAGGATATAAAAATATACTCTGATAAAGAAATTAATAAAAAGGTTTTCAAGCTATTCATCAATGATTAATTAATACTATTTTCATTTTTACAATAGTCAAAAGTACGGCTATTTTTTGAATTACGCTGGGCTGAGCAGTGTTAGAGATCTCCCCACTGGATCATTTCGATAATTAAAAATCATTTGAATTGATTTCGAAAAAGTTTTTTAACTGACTTAAATGACGTATTTATTAAATTCATTAGAATTCATTGAAATATCAAGATTAGTGTAGATTAATTAGAAATTATTTGGAAACCACAATGCGTCCGGGATTAATCAGATGAAAATCAGAACCCTGATTTAAAGGATCTACAAAAAAAACGACTTTCATTGGTATTTGTTATTAAAATTTCATCAATGTTTCTGTGGAAGTCTCAGTTCAGAACAACAAATTTCATTTGCCAAAAGATGCAGAATTTCATGCTCTGTTAAACTGCATTAGCCTAGAGTGATGTAACAATTTTATCTATTAAAAAGACAAAAAGATCTATGGAGCAATAAAGATGAGTAAGAGAGGTAAAAGTCGGGTTTCCTCAAGCAATTTTTAAGGCACGCAAATTTTATGTTATTCTTTGACTGGCAGAAAAATTTTATGGAAAATTTTTTGTACATTGTTTAATCGAATAAAGTTGTTAAAGAAACTAGAATAATTTCTAAAACGAGAGTTTTTCACATTTCTAAAGTCATTGCGGTATTAACGAAATATTCCATTTTGCAGACAGTAAATTCTCTATCTTTCGAGCTAAGAAGGAAATTTTTAGTGTAAGTGGCCGTGGGTGTCTTATCCTAGTTGGATAAAGCAAGATCTCATTTTCAATTTTACCCTGAATGCACGCTATCCCCTACCGTGTGGTCCACCTAGGCAAAACTATTTTTTCAGCAAAAATCTTGACCGTGAAGCACTCATTTGATTCTATGTCCTTTCTTTCACACTATGGTGTGTCGCTTTTCACCATTGAACGACTGAATGCGTCGTAACTTAAGACATTTTTCACAGAGTTAAGCTAACATTTTCAACTAAGACAAGACTGGAGTTCTTTCATGAAATGTTTCTCTATGGCGACTTAGATAGAAAATTTTGTCAAAAATGTTTGTTCTTCATAACAGGGTATTTTCTACTCCTAGAAAACTGTTCATGTCGTATCCAAACAATCCTTAAGCACAATTCGAGAGTACAAAGAAGACGAAAGAGAGAATGAAACCTCCATCGTTAGAGATAGTTGACTCCGCCACTCTGTTTCACCTCCAAAAACTTCGCTTTTTAAAAGAATACTTTGCTCTGAAACTTGATCGTTGGTACGAATACGTCGAAGCTGCAAACTCTGAAGAACCTGAATCCGAACCCGAACCTCAAACACCTAATTTGATTGATATGGAGAGTGATGAAGACGTATCGAAAAACCTCGCTTTGGACCCATTCCCAGGACGTTTCCCAGTGCTTGCCACAGAGGTCTTTAATCATTTCACAAAAGAAAACATACCCATTGACTTTGAGAACCTCAAAACTGAGTACAACAAGATTTTCAACGTTTTTCATGTGCTATCGCACACGCTCACCCTCTCCCTTGCTGCCACAGCTAAGGACTTAATCTTTGAGGAACCGCCACCGCAAGAAAAAGTAGATGGTCTGATAGCCATTCTAGACACCTGGCAAACGAGAACCATTGACTCTTTTCTAGAGCCTCTACGCATCACCAATGAGAAACGCCTTAGTAACCTGGCAATAGATTGCGCGCTGAAGAAACACCGTGACCTCTTGATAACGACCCCCCGGACAGAAAACGAAGATGAGAATATCCGACTAATAATGGACTTGGCAGAAAGACGTGACGAATTAAAAGCTCAGCTAGCAAAACTCGAAGCCCGACTCAACTTTAAGGCCCCTCCACCATCGCTAAACTCTTTTGACATCACACTGAAAACACACATACCCATCGACTGTCCTGAAGTTTTTCCCATTATGGAGCGATGGAATAACACCTTACGACAAACAAAGTTGACTTTAACTGAGTGTATGATTTTAACTAAAAACCTCGAGATAAGAGCAATTGAAGGAGAAATTTATAACGTTCGCCAAAAGGTGTTATCCCCTGTGAATCCCCTTTTCCTTGTACACATCGACATTATCCTTGCAAATCTTTTAAAAAGGAACGAGCAAAAAACCCTCAAAAAAGTTCATTTTTTAGAGAAAAGTGCAGAAAAGCATCCTCCACCATAAACTTTACAATGCCTTATGCAAAACCAACACTTCATCCTCACTATACCACTATTAGTTTCCCACCCCAAATAAAAAATTACGCCATCAGTCTAGACAGTCACCAGCGCCCGATATTAAATAAAGGTCCAGCGTACGTTCCACCCAACCCGACAACTGCGATTCGTCGCCTCTCCGCCGAGATAGAAACTATGCGCCAGAAAATTCAAACCCGCTTCAACGAAGAAATCCGCGCCCCTGATATTCCCCGCCCAGTAGTTGATTCTTTTGCCGATCGAGTAGCCAAAATCAAAAATATTTCACTTAAATACTCCTGCTGCATACCAAACCAAATCAGATGCCTATATGGAGAAAACTAATGCGTATGAGGAAATCCCTGACCACCCACTCCGACACACCATTTCTGAATTAGATGAGCTCTTAAGACTATTTCTACAACAGAAACGTATCACACAGAACTAGTATGAAAAACTTAGACCTTCCCTAGATGAATGCGAGCTCCCACATCTGTATTACAACCCAAAAGACCATAAGATTGGTGAACCTCTTCGTCCAATAGTTGCTGGGATTAAGTCACCTACGGCCAAGCTTTCAAGCTTTCTAGATCAGAAACTTCGTCTCATCTTTAATAAAGCTACTGCACACTACACCATGGAAAACTCGCTTCAGTTTTTAGACCATCTTGACAGGTATACTGTGTCCTCGATGACCCGGCAGTTCACCTTTGACATTACTGATTTATATACTATGATTCCCCAAAATCAATCCGTTTTCGCGGTTTGTCGACTTCTTTCAAAAACAAAAAACTATAAAATAGATGGTATTTCAATAGACACCATAGCTAGAATGTTACGTTTCATACTCAACAATGCATTTTTCGCATTAGGCAAAAAATATTACAAACAAATTAAAGGTGGTGCGATGGGGTCAGCAGTGACTCAAGTGCTAGCCGATGTTTATATGATGGAGTGGGAAAGTGACATTCTAGCAATGCAATTAGACGAAAAAGAAATTTATGTAAGATTTCGAGACGACATTTATTTGACTACCAAACGACCCCTTTTTGACTTCGTTGACATACTCAAAAAACTTGACTCTAAAGATCCGCACATAAGACTAACCTACGAAACCGGAGACTCAGTTGGCTATTTGGACGTGACAGTTCTTAAAGATCCCCCGAATAACCGTTTCCGCACGATCGTTTTCCGAAAGCCCGCTGCCCAACCATACATCTTACCTTTCGACTCCTCACACCCTATCCATATAAAACAAAACATACCCTATGCTGCAATTCTCCGACCGCTACGCATCTGTTCTCATTCTGAAGATTGTAAAACAGAAATATTCAATATCCGCGTTAGACTCTTACTCAATGGCTACCCGTCCAAGTTTATAGATGCTCATTTCGACCGCTTTGCTAAAGACATCCGCTTACGCAACCATGACTCTCTTTTCGAGAATCAGAGCAAATACGAATACTGCCGAACCAACTTTAGAAACCTAAACTGGACGAGTCATCGACAACCACGCAAACAAATTAATCCGCAAAAAGACTTTCTCATCCATTTTTCATACGTTCCTTCAATCTCACGCTTTGGCCCCAAATTTTACCAGATGTGGACCGAGACATTCGAAAACACTCCCCTCACCGATATTCACCCTATTTTTGCTAATCGTCTAACCGAAAATCTTACCCAAATGCTAATCCGAAAGAAACCTTCAAAAAATATCTTAAAACCACCCCCGGAAATTTTTAAAAAATACCCCAAAACCACCCCTAGATAAAATCTGATAGTTAATATCTACATATGTGCTGCCGGGTTTTCTCTTCCAACTTTTAGTGCTACAACGGATAAAATGTACCAACACATATGATCAACAATGACTGTCATCATTGGTAGTATTATGGAAAGTCAATGCAAAAAACATCTCCGAACATTCTAGCAAATCCAAAAAACTATTAGCATAAGTATCTTGAAGGAAGAAGATATGAGATATCTTCCTCCTTCTTTCGTTTCGCATAGAAAGGGGAAAATACTTTTTCTGTTTACACTGGAAAATGCTTTTTGAAAAAATGTCCCTTTCCGCTGGCTTTTAGAAACAAAACACTTTACTTAAAACATAACTTTTCTCAAATTTGAGCAATGAAGTGACGTAATATAAGAAGAATAACACCCCCATACGCGACCACGTAATATGTGTATAACTAGTGCCACATAAGACTATGAGATATATATATGACTACCCCTTGCATATGGCTACGTGATATATGTATAACTACCAGGATTTTCTTGAGTGATGCGATATATGTAACCCCCATATGTGACTACGCAATATATGAATATATATGCCTCGTAAATGACTATATGATATATGTATAACTACTCCGATATATGATCACGTCATTGACCACGCAGTAGGGGGGTACATATATGACTACGTGATTTAAATAAGACCCCATACAAAAAACAAAATATTAATTAACTATCCCTTATACAACTAAAAAGCATTTTCCAACAGAAAAACGACTTACTTGTAACACTGTCCAGCATGTTTTTTGATTTTCACTGATGCATGTTTTCTCACGTTGAAATTTCTACAGATGCATCTGCTCGTCAAAAGCAAAATATCATCAGTTATATACTAATCGAAATAATTTTCTTCCTCCCCCTATCAGTTTAATAAACAAAAGCACTCCAAAACATTTCAGCCAAAATTGTCGAAAAATTCCACTCTCTCTTTCAACAGTTTTCCATTTTCAAAATAAATTTCTCTCTCCCTTTCAATAAATCGTTGAAAAATTTCACTCTCTACAAAATCAAACAGTTTTTTCACCCCCTCTCACTTTTCTCGTCTGCACGAACCAAAATACTATATAAACAGCTAACTTTCTGAACTATAGCCATCATTTTCACATCATCATCTTTACACGAGCATTTACTGAAGAAGAAGAATTCGAAACGCGTCTAAATTCTCGTGTATACTCTCTATTTTTCTGTTATTTAAATTTATCGTCGTACTTTTCTTTTAAAATATATATTTTTCTATCAACATTTTATCACTTAATCAAGCAACAATCATTCAATCAAGCAACGTCCACCTCAATCTTCCGTTTACTTTCACTCTTTCCGCTTTGTTTCACCTGCCGTACTCCTCTGAGTACTCACCAGATCAGTCTTAAAAAAATTGAGTAAGTCTTACCTTTTCTTATTTGTGATATTTCCGCTTTAATTTCCTCCTGCTTCGATTTGTCAATAATTGTCATAACACACTATGGTGTGTCGCTTTTCACCATTGATCGACTGAATGCGTAACTTAAGACATTTTTCACAGAGTTAAGCTAACATTTTCAACTAAGACAAGACTGGAGTTCTTTCATGAAATGTTTCTCTATGGCGACTTAGATAGAAAATGTTGTCAAAAATGTTTGTTCTTCATAACAGGGTATTTTCTACTCCTAGAAAACTGTTCATGTCGTATCCAAACATTCCTTAAGCACAATTCGAGAGTACAAAGAAGACGAAAGAGAGAATGAAATTATTCGTAAAATATTACAAATAATTTCACTCTCTCTTTCTTTTTCCGTTCTGCTCTCAGATAGTTTTCAGCATTTTACGTTCATAATATTCCAAGCATGAAAACATAAGAGAAAAATTCTAGAGACACTCGCTAGAGTATCGCCGATTCTCCAGCAAAAGTATCTGGATAAAGGAGTAAAAGATATCGGTTTAGCTAGATACATCGGGTTTGACCCGCTTACACGACACAATATCGATGTCACTCTAGTAAGAAAATATGGTTGATAAAAAACAATATGAACTAGAGACATCTAGCGATTAAGCGCACATTCAACGCTTAATCGCTAGGTCGTTTATATCACTTTAGGATGAAATAGATAATTCGTTACGAGCCATGGAAAGACGATTCGAAGAACTCATGCAGAGTTTACAACAACAATTCGAGATGGCCGTTCAGCCACTAAAACAACAAATACAAAATGCACAAGGCCCAGTCAAACGGTTAGGTGAAGAACATCAAGATCGAGTTAACGTTCTTCATAAAGAGAAAAAAAGAGAACTGAAACAGTTATTTAACAGTAAGTATTACGTTTGAGAAATGTAAAAAGAAGTGAGATAA